CACATGACGTTTCATGAACGGCCATTTAACGGTATTAAAAATCTCACAATTAGACACTTTTTTCAAACCGAATTATACTCTTTTTTAGTGTGAAATTAGAAGAAGACGTGATTTTCTACCGAATACGTAAAAGAATGAATATTTTTATGCATGTTTTCCATGAATTATAATCAATTTTTCAAGGGCATCGAAAATCAATGAGAAAATTGCATGCTAATTAAGTAGTCATTTTCACAGAGTATAGATCCTGCATGCAGCCGAAAATAAGTTCTTTCGAAAGCCTACACCCTGAGGTAACTGAATCATTATAGACTTATGCTGAATCATGATTAGTTTAACAACATTGCTTAATTCCACTTTTCGAAACGAGAACGCATTTCGAAATTTTCGTTGACATTTCATGAGTTAGCACATCTACTGTAGTTTGTTTGTGTTGGTTCTTGTCAAGTAATGATTCAAATGCAATATATATTTAATTTTAGGATAAAAACGCAAATCTATATGAGATATTCACGCGTGATAAATTCTTATCATTATTGCACACAATAATTTAATTAGCCCGAACCACAAAATGACTGAAAAAACCACAAACTGAAAATTATTTCCATATATGGTTTAGTATTCCATGCGTTGGCACATGAAGCGATCAGAATTTGCAGCAACCGCGTCCTACGAGAGGTTCTAGACGTTCCAAATGAATGAACAACGCTTGTCATTATCGTGTCTTTCATGCCAGGGAATAATTTGACGCATGACCCGCTGAAAGAATTGATTGAATCGCTATGCTGCCCCCGACACTACGACCGGAAAACCCTCATTTTGCATAGTCTGTGACCTAAACGACAGACGGCTTAAAGTATGTCTGGGTTTCGTGCGGGTATTCAGCCATACTCTGTGTGATATGATACTTTAGACAAAGACTAGTTCAAAACACATATGAAGCATGTAAATCGCAGTAGTCTACTCAAGACATTTAAGCGTTTTGCGACAACAGATTATAAATCCATCAATTTTGAATCGATTGTTTGTGGAACAGTTCTCCCTAAAGTTATATGTTTCAGAAAAACCGCAAAATACGCCAAAATTTGAAAATATGATAAAGGTTAGTCAAGGAAGGTGGAATCAGCCTATGAGGATTTTAATGGAACACTGACTCTCAATGACGTTTAAAAACACTGAATTGCCAAACCATGTCTTATGAACATTTCATTCGATCATGTGCCATACAGATTAGAGTGGAAATTATGGTTATTGCAATTGGCACCTCAGACATAATCTTGCAGATGCGCACTCCAGAAGACAATTTGAGGAGTATACGCGTTCTCTTAATAAAACCTCGTCCGGCTTAAACATTCATATGTTACACACTGAGATGTACAAGCGATGAGACGAATCGATATCTGTTCGCCTTTGCAAACAGGCGGAGTGTATACAGTGAGTGACCGGTCTCATGAAATTTTGGCTGAAATTCTAAATTGCGTTTTCGATTAGGAAGGATTACTTGGTCGCGGTTGTAATAATGATTATCTTAAGGCATACTCTTGTAAAATTTCGGACTCGGCAGGATGTCAGCTTTTAAAGGCACTTCTTTTCAATCTCCTGTAGAAAGCGTGCTCGGTAAATATGACTACTTGAGTAGCATGCATTTTTCCCATTGATTTTCGATGGTCTTGCAAATTCAAATATATTTTATAAAAACCATAAATAAAAATAAGTTTTCTTTTAGTACATCAATAGACGATCACGTCTTTTCTATATTTCATACTTAAGGAAGGAGTATAATTAGGTTTTAAAAAAGTTTTCTAATTGCCGAATAATTTGGAGTCTGATCATTCGTTGCATTAGCGCTTATTGATATCAGTTTACAAGGTGCACGCCTTCCGCGCAAAGAAAATCACGTATTTGTATACCATTAATGAGATATCATACAGAGTCCATAAAATTTTGCAATGGATGCGGTCCATGTTGTACATTTCATGAGGAGCAGTGGTAAACGGCCAGCTACGATGCAATGTGAATGGAAATTTCGCGGTCTTAAAAAGCTTCATAATTAGAAACTTTTTAAAGCCTAATTATACTCCTTTCTTAAGTACAAATTATAAAGAAGAAATGATTCTTTGTTAATTGACTGAAAAAAGCTTGTTTTTGTTTATGGTTTCTATAAAATATATTTGAATCTCCAAGACCGTCGAAAATCAATGGGAAAAATGCATGCTACTCAAGTAGTCATTTTTTACCGAGCACGTTTTTTAAAGAAGATTGAAAAGAAGTGCCTTTAAAAGCCGACATCCTGCCGAGTCCGAAATGTTACAAGAGTATGCCTTAAGATAACCATTATTACAACCGCGACCAAGTCATTCTTCCTAATCGAAAACGCATTTCAGAATTTCAGGAAACATTTTATGAGATCGGTCACTCACTGCAAATACGGATGGAGCAGGCGGTAGGCGGCAGCGGCTGGCGCGGCGACATACAGTTAGTGACCTGACTCATAAAATGTGTCAAAATTCACGAATGATTGCCGATCGCTAGCAAACCGACATCATTTTATGAGTCAAATGTTTATGTTAATAAGGTACAATTTTAATGAAATCAAAAACATAAAACATTATAGGCATGGATGCGTCGTTTAGAAATGTCTTTTTTTTGAAAAGCGCAATATCTTGAAAACTGAAAAAATGGCTCTTAATAAGTAGAGTTCGTTTTTAGATCTAAAGAATATATTTTCGTACCAAAAACGCAGTACCTATGAAAGCAGAGATTAAATAACATCTGATAACAGTGTTTTAGTGAAGTTTTCGTCTTAATATCTTTTAATCAGTAGTGTGATTTCGTATATGACGGTTTGTCAACCGCCTGAATTCTGAGTGCAGAGTCCAAGACAGTTTTCCAGTGAGTCTTGCTTTTAAAGTAAATGAGATGGGGTTCAACGAGAGAAGCTGGATTTTGCCTGATTTCACAGATGGGGACGTAGTAAGAACATATGCTTTCATAAGGTGACATGCCATGAGCCCGGTGGCTGCCTAATAGATTTAAATAGAACTGACAGACATGATCGTAAGCAAATCATTTTGTGTTTGCAGAGAGAACCTTTCTTTAGTTAAATTAATTTACACTTTTCGTTCGTTTTTGATTACGCTGATTTTGAGGTCGGCTTTGAAATATTGCAGGATAATTCATGAATTTTAGTGCTTTCGTAGGATCGTCCATAAAGACAGATTCTGAATTACCTGTCTTTTGAGAACTTTAAATAATGAGTGTTCAGGAAGATGGTTGTTCGGGTCACATGTGAAAACTCTCTTAAACATCAAACTTTAGTTTTGAGAAAAATGGTTGTTCACAACGAAAGTCAGCATTGAATATGCCTTCGACCAATAAGTAATCTTTCCTTAATAAGTTATCTTTTTAAGAAGTGCTTTATCACTGAACTCCTTTGGCGGATTTCTGTACTTTGCATTTTTGCACAGTGAGGCCAAGTAAAAATTTGACACTTTTGGCCGTTCACGGTCCTAAATAAGGCTAATTTTTTCTATTGTTAACATAAGAACATGCCTTCTTCTATACATTGAGGCCATTTACAGTATTTTTGCTCACATGTAGACCCCGTTACTCGATTATGAATGCACGGTAGAGAACCCATAATAATACTGATAGTTTGCTGAACCTGCTAAGGTTTTGCTCGTAGCATTTCTGAATAAGATATGCGCAGAAGTTAAACTTCACGACAAGTAGTGTTTCATATGTTAAAAACTGGAAATGACCATTCGCTGGTGGTCATTTATGTGACATCAAGTAGGATTTTCAGAACGGCAAAACAATTTCAGCCCATTTAAACGAACGAATCTCTATCTGCGTTATTACTATACTTTTGGGCACCAAATCGCACAGATCCGCTAATTTGAACTTTTGGATTCGATAAAACCTCTGGTTTTTTTAAAATAACCTTTTCGTTAGCAGATTGATCACCACGGTTAACATCGGACATAGAATAAATTTTCACGTTTGACTAAATCTGGTTACTAAAACTCTCGGACGAATCACTTTGCTTTGATTGAAAAAATCGCTCAGATACGTAACCGGAGTCTAGGACATGTATTCGCATAGACAATTGCACGAATATATTCCAGCGCCCATTCTCGCTAAAATTTACTGATATTTTACTTTAAATAATTACGTTAGTACCATTGCTGCACAAGAAAAGGACATTTCATTGAAGGATGTGGGTGTGCGAACCAAATGTGCAACGTCACAAATGTCCAGAAATTATCGCATCGGTCTCCGTTATCAGATTTTATGAGATAGGTAACGTACTGTATTAGGATAAGAAATTGCGCGAATATACTGAAAAGTCCATTTCCACTAAACGTTATTTATATTTTGCCGGATATAATTACGATAATACTATTTATGCACAAGAAAAACATATTTCATTAAAGACGCTGAGTGAGCAAGCAAAGTGCGCAAATTTTGAAGATGTCCAAAAGATCCCACATTTGTTTCTATTATCTGGTTTCATGGCATGGGTCAGGTACTGTACCCTAACGCAAACCCTAAACTTAACCCTAACCCTAATTCAATCTCTAATTTCCCCGGAACTTGGCGCAACGCCCCCTGTATTGTGGGCGGTCCTCCTTCTCATGTTCTTCTCAGGACGCGTTAAGGTGGTCAGATTCTAAATCTGCCAATTCAAAATCCTTAGGAGTTTTTGAGTGACTAATTGACTTAGATTTTCAGTCCAACACAACCAATGATGAAGGAAAACCGCACCACCATCCGGATACCCTATCGACCGCGCATATCATTGGCCATTCAGCGAACAGACCCGTTTGTTCGCCGCCTTATGTAAACAAACTACACCCTCAGTGGAAGACCAGTGGTTGCTCACTACGTCGCTGCGTATGTTTACAGCCTACGCTGATTCTCTGGACTATTACAGACAGCGCTCATGCTAAACCTCCATTTTAGTCAGTTGCGACAACAATTCAGTGTGGATTAAAACCATGGCATGTGCAGATGTCCAAATTTACGAAGATGACCCCCCACTGGCCAGGGCTTGTCCTTCCATGGAAGATCTCTGGAGGAAGAATGAGCTCACCGACGTAGAGATAGAAGTGAGTCGAGGGTGATTTCAAGCTTCATTTTGAACAACTCTGCGTTTTTTTTTCAGTTGTCAAAGTGCCAGAGTATGAGCGCACACAGATTCGTCTTGGCGGCGCGAGTGCCACATATCCGGCGGCTACTTAGCCAGAATGCCGGCGAAGGTGGAGCTTTGCTTCAATGGAGGACGGTGCCGAAGTCGTAGGGTTCTAGCTCAACGACTCACTCGTTTACGTCAGTATTCTAGAGCCTCTCATGGAGTACTTTTATACAGGGAAACTGAAGATTTCGGAGATAACTGCAAAAGGCATTCTCATGTTGGCGAAGATGCTAGAACTGGAGACCATTGAACAGTGGGCAGTCGACTTTATTACTGGACGGTAAAGCTGCTTGTTTTTGGACCATACGAATGTTGTTTTTTTACAGAATCAACGTAGGGAACATTGAGGATAGGTTGCGGTTCGCCCGACGCGTTCAGAACAAAGCTCTCACTCATGCCTGTCTCTCATTCATGAGGTCGGCATATGAGGAAACAGTTGCTACCGAGGTCTTCCTAGAACTGCCTGCGGAAGCATTACTGAGTCTGCTACGAGATGACAACTTGAAGGTTTCCAGTGAGGAGGCAGTTTTCCAATCACTGGTCCGGTGGGTTAAGCCAGACTGTGCGTATGACAAGACTCGGCTGCAAGTGCTGCCTGAATTGCTGAGAGAAATACGGTGGGCAGAGACCTCTGAGAACTTTCGGCAGGAAGCTGCGAAGGAGGCAATAATGACAGAATATCCGTCTTGCATGTAAGAACGTTCGCCTTTCTACCAACTTTTACAAAGGGACTTCTTGCGTCAGGTTAATCTGTTTATTGACCGTCCGGACAGAAAGTCGTGCCCCTATAATTTGACGCCCCGAAATTCCCAAATCGTAGTATATGGACAGGCGGTTAACGGCGACGGTCAGTGGGTCTGCCACACATACGATCCGAAAACTGGTCTCGGGCGCGTGCTGGGCCGAGTTAAGCGACGTTCCCACGCGGCACTTGTCTGTCTAAGAGGTGAGAGGCACCGACCGCATTCCCTAATTTGTAATCCTACCCTCAAGGTCAGGGTCAAGGTCACTGCTTACTGCTCTGTGTGACACCGGCTCGCATCAAGCCAGTCTTCTGTGGCTATTCGGCAGAAGATGCCGGACAGTGGTTGGCTTGATGCTGTCGGCATCTACATAATACCCCCCCCCGCCTCCCATCTCAGTCTCTCCTTTCTTTTCCAGGAGGTCGGATTCTTCTGGTTGGCGGTCGTATAGGAGAAAATAAACTGGAAAATGCCACCACTCGAGTGGATGAACTGGACGTCCACAGTGGTCAATGGAAGGTTCTCGCGCCGATGAAGATCCGACGTGGCGAGGGTCACACGGCGACTGTGGTGTCTACCAGCGGTCAGCAAAACCAGATGGTCGTCGTCTGTGGAGGACGGGATGAGAGCCAGAGAGACCTCGCCTCTTGTGAAATGTACGATCCGCGCGAGAACCGGTGAGTACAGCGGCAGAGGAGCTGCTCTAATTTGCCATCAGAACAACCTCCCACTCCCCTCCCAGTTCCTGAATCCCTGAATCTATTCCTCCAGTTGGCAATACCTGCCGGACATGCGAAGGAAGCGCTGCGGAGCGGCCGCAGCCGTTCTGCCCGATGGGCGTCTCTTCCTTATTGGCGGCCTGGGCGACGCCGCAGATTCAGTGGAGTTCTGCCGGCCAACAGAAGGCCGGACAATATGGACTTCCCTCTTCCCCGGTGGCTTTTGGCGAGACTTGTCAGTGGGCGCTGGGCGCCGCTTCGACAATTCGGCAGCGGCGGCTTTCCGCGGCGACTTATTTGTAGTCGGTGGGTTTCCTGCCAGTAGAGCGCGGGATGTGGAAGTCTTCCATCCAGGCGACCTCGACAACGACCAATGGGCGACCGGCCAGTGGACGTGCGGACAGCGGATGAACAGACCGCGCGCCGTTTCTTGCAGCCTTCTTGTCCACCGCGATAGGCTGTTTGCTCTTGGCAGCGGCTACCGTATGCAAGCCTTGCATATTATCAAAATAATATACCATCATACCATACCATATTACCTCTTAGTCAACCACACATCCATTTTTCACGTTATACATACAGTAGGTGGGCTAAGTCATGAAATGTCAACCGAAATTTTGAAAGGCTTCTATGTTTTAAAAAGACTAATAAAGTAAGGTTATAAAACTAATCACTATGAAGCATAATTCTTTAATAATTCAGTTACCTCAGGATGCCGGCTTTCGAACGAAATTCTTTCCGACTGCTTGAAAAAACTATACTCTGTTAAAAAATGACTACGTAAGCAGCATGCATTCTCCTCACTGATTTTCGGTGGCTTTGAAAATTTTACTAAATTCCATGTAAGACATATATACAAATATTAATTCTCATGCTCATTCGGTAGAAGACGACGTCTTCTTCCAATTTTATACTCGAAAGCAGAGTATAATTCGGTTTTAAAAATGTTTCATACTGTGAGATTTTTTAATACCGTGAAATGCCCGTTCAGATAACATTATCCATGTGGCTTGTAAATTCAACGATATGTCTTAAATTCACTGGTAAATTTAATTAGCCCCATATGGTCCCCTCTTAATACCGTAGAGAAATGTATGGTTTTCCCTACGCGGAAAATAAACGGCTTTTAGTTAGGAAACCCTGAATGCAAGTGTAACGGCAGGTCGGGCTTCAAAATTCTTCGGGAATCGAAAAAGTTCTTTAAAACCGAATTATACCCTCCCTTCAAGTATGAAATTGGAAGAAGACGTCATTTTCCACCGAATGAACAAAAATAATGAATATCTGCATGCACTTTTTCCATGTGATATAATTAAATTTTTAAGGACATCGTAAATCAGTGAGAAAGATGTATGCTGCTCAATTTGCCATATTTTACAGAGTATAGATTTTGCATGCAGTCTGAAAGACGTTTGTTCGAAAGCCGGCGTGCTGGCGTAACTGAATTATTATAGAATTACGCTGCACAATGGTCAGTTATACAACCCTACTCCATTAATCTTTTCAAAACGAAGAAGCATTTCGGAATTTCGGTTAACATTTTATGAGTTAGCCCACCTACTGTAGCATCTTAGTAGTGCATATGTTCGACGTAGAGTGGCATACCTCACGTAACACTGACCGACATTCTGAAATGCAAATTCATTTTGAGTAGATCGCTTAAGTGGATTTGCAATATCGTTTATCGTATAACATGCTCCCAAGATATTTTAATCACGCCAGGATGTCGGATTTTTGATGCACTTCTCTCTGATGGTATGAAAAAGCACACTCACTACAAGATGGCGACATAAGTAGTTGGCATTCAGTCCATTTATTTCCGATGGCCTCATAAATTTAAACACATTCGAAAGAAAACATGCCTAAAAAATATCTCTTTCTATACCTGCGGATCAGCAAATCACATCTACGACAATATTTCACCCCAAGTAGGGGTATTCTTCTTTTTAAAAATAATCGTAATTACAAGACGTTTTAAGGCTGCCTAATGTGCATATAAACGGCATAGTAGGTGTGCATTTATTAATGCTCTTTATGAAGCATATAACATGCTCCACGTTCATTGTAGAATGCTTTGAGTTTCATAGTATAGAAGAATTTATAATTTATTTCCACACATGGAAAGCATACAGTTCATTTTTTAGGACCCCTAATGTAAACGCAATGGCAGTTCGGCTTCAAAAGTTATCGGAAATCGAGATTTGTTCTGTCTATGTATTTGACTGCAATTGTTCGCTTAGCCTTTCGTTCTGCCAGGTTCAAGGCCTTCAGCAGATATAGGTTTTAAACAAGGTATCCCCTATTTTCTTAGCTTGGATTCTGCTAACACTACTGTTGTACGCACCACAACGCAACCAAAGCTTCCACTGGGTTCTAGAAATGCCTTCTACCTGACTTCCTGTCAGATGTTTTGCAAACGTTTTTAAATATGTCCTCGAATACCTTTCACTCACCAGCATCGGCGCAGAACACGGTCGAGGAGTTCGTGCCCCGAAACGGCGCCAAAGCAGATTCCTCACCGGACGACTTCTGTGCTTGGCAGTGGGAAGAAAGACCGTCGCCAGCCAACATCCGCGACATTTGGGGAGCTGGCATCCTCCGTTTCTGATGCGCAGTAAACGATTCTGCTGATTATTATAACTTCTTTAACGAGAGTACATTCCTGCCGTCCGCTGATAGAGGCCTTCGTTCCTTCAAGTCATCGGACGGAAAACAAATATTTTCTGAAATCGGTTCTTCCCGCACACTTCGGCAGGCGCATACATGCCCTTCGCGCCCACGGTTCCCGATCTAGACAGAACGATGCACTTGCACTCCCGCTGGGTATACAAGTCGCGCGCATGCTTGCCTAATCATCCTTCTCCTTTTCCTGACTCCTCTTATTGTGTTGTTGATTAAAGCCCTGGTCCAGTGTTTGTTGTGGTCAAGGGAGTGTGGTGGTACGCCTAGGTGCGGGCCCGTGAGTGGCAGGCACCTGCGTCCGCTCCCGTCCCCTGTATTCTTGACTTCATCGGGCCCAGGTGGGGAGGAGGAGAGAGTGCGATAGATGTCGTGCAAGTCTTTTCTCAGAATAAGCTAGCTCAGGCCTGCTTCACCTTGTTGTGGGGCATACAGTGGACATCGTCGGACACGATAGCCAAGGTCACATCATTTTCCTAATGCAGAGGATGGCTACTTCTTACGTGGTGTGGGTTTTCTACACTGGAACTTCAGACACACCTCTCATATCTCATCCTCAGAGTGTGTCTGTGAGCACAGTAGAAACTGGTCGCGGCCTGGCTGAAAGGGAAGAGCATGAGTATGCTTAAATGAACTCTTGGTCTACCCCCTTCGTCTTCATTCACAGCGGTGAGACCGCAGACTGCAGTATGGAAATATTCTTGATGATATTAACTTGACACGTGGAATGGAGTTGTACACTCGCAGTGACCACTCGACTACGGCGGGTACTTGTGAGTGAGGAAAAGGGCGGAAGTGCCGAACGGTGAGTCGCTGAGGTATACGTGTGACGGGCGGAGTATTCCTTTCCAGCTGGACCCTTTTTCGAAGACTTAGACTTAAGACTCTGGACGGTAATGGACATTTGACTGAAATCCGTTGGAACTTATGTACGCAGCCCACGTGTCTACTGGCCCCTGCCACGGAAGGTTACGGTGAGATTGGACGACGTCGATTTTACGGTGGCTGTCAGCCAGCCGACCGCGAGAGGCAGCTACTGTGTCCACATATCTGACAGTTCAAACGTCGACTTCGTCGAAGTCCATCGTATGATTCACAGCAGGATCGGAGCAGAGACGGTGACTTGTGCGTGAATTCGGTGATAGTAGACTTACCCGGCATCTACCGCGCTCTCTCCTCTTCTCTCACCTGGACCCGGTGTCATGACAGAGTCAAATGGTCTTCGGTACACCTTGTTATGTTCAGCCGCGCTGTGAGTCAACCTCACACGTCTTACGCTGTCTTGTGCACCAGTTGTCCGCCCGAACCGGTCAACCAATTGATGTTGAAGCTGGCTAATCCGTCTGCGCGAGCCACGCACACGACCTGACCCTTGGACGCACAAGACTGGACTTCACACAGGCGGGGGAGCTTTTCAAACCTCATATGTGTATGAAGAAGGAGCCGAAGAGCGCACTTCTCCCTTACGTGATGTTTACTGATGTGGAATGTTGAAGGTGCTGAGCAGGTGTTGACGAGGAAATGTATAATGATGCGTGCTAGTCTGCGGTTTTCGTGGAGGCGCATATGACCGAGTAGGCAGTTGAGTCAACAGTAACGGGTGTACCCTCCAAGGTGCTTCAACTACTCCGAAGGAGTCGTAGTTGACCGACCAGGTCAGTGCCTGATGGGCACTTGAGATAACAGTGTTGGCAAAAGAGGTTGGGAGCTTCAGAATCGGTTGTAGTGAGGGGATGGTAGAGCTGTCGGATGTGCAATGTGTGCTTGGTGTGACAATATTGCAACGAATAGGTCCATTTGGCGGTCGAATGAGTGTGGGCAGTGCAAACAGTGAAGATAGTTGCGTCGAGTGTATGTGGAGATTCCTGGCTGGTCGTAGTGCGACGTACACGCAGGTGACCGGCCAGGTCGATGCGTGAGGTGAATGTACCATCGCAATTGGGGCAGGGTGTAACCGAGTCCACATCACTGGTGGTGCC